CATACACCACTCATCATACACCACTCATCATACACCACTCATCATACCACTCATCATGCACCACTCATCAGACACTACTTATGAGACACCACTCATCATACACCACTCATCATCCAGATAGCTCTAGCTTCAAGAGCTGCTCCAGTTAGCTCTGGCTGCAAGAGCTCTAGCTCCAGGTAGCTCTAGTGCTCCAGTTAGCTCTATAGCTCTAGCTCCAGTTTACGTGGCAGGCACAGCACTTTGAACCTCATGTGCAGACTTCGTGGCAGGCACAGCACTTTGTGAACCTCCATGCGCAGAGTTCGTGGCAGGCACAGCACTTTGTGAACCTCCATGCGCAGCTTTCGTGGCAGGCGCAATACAAAATGCGCTTTCGAGAGATAGCGGACGCACGAAATGCTGTGTTTTTCAATAGAAAGGGTGGCTTCGAAGCTGGCAAGTCAAGCTTTGCGGAACGCCGCGTGCGAGACGGTCTCGGGTCATGCTCGGATCGTGGGCGGAATCGTCCCTCCATTGCGATTAGAGTTTTAACTTGTTTCTTGAAGTGCAGATTTCGTGGGAGCGCAGCACTTTGTGAACCTCCACGTGCAAGTTTCGTGGCAGGCGCAGCACTTTGTGAACCTCCACTATAACGGTTTTTGAGCTTGTGGACTTATAACGCTAAGATATATCTAACTTATGAACCCCTAGACGTGATAAAGTGCAAATGAACTTATGGAACTTATAAGTTCCCCACGTTGCCCTGTTTTGTACTTCTAGAAAATCACCACATTTTTTCCGGGGGGTGGTCGTTTTTGATTTTTTGGTGGGCCCTGACACGGCCCTGACACGCCCCTGACACGGCCCTGACACGGCCCTGACACGACCCTGACACGCCCCTGACACGGCCCTGACACGACCCTGACACGGCCCTGACACGGCCTATTTTTATCCACACCATTTGAACCACGTAAAGGCCGACGGCGGAAAAGAAGCTGATTTTTGGTCGAGTCATCGTGCCGAACTTAGCAGAACTTATATACACTCGTAAGTTAACTTGCTACGTTGCCCTATGTTGTGGTTATAAGTTCTTAAGTTCTGCTATCTAATCTACCTCCATGCGCAGAGTTCGTGGCTCCATGTGCAGACTTCGTGGCAGCCACAGCCATTTGTGAAGCTCGAGGTGCAGATTTCGTGGCAGGCGCAGCACTTTGTGAACCTCCATGTGCAGGCTGAGAACTGGTGACTTTGTAGTACAACTTTAGTATGCGGAGTAGGCTGGGGAGCTGGAGGCTGAGAACTGGCGACTTTGTAGTACAACTTTAGTGCGCGGAGTAATCTGGCGAGGCGGAGGCTGAGAACTGCCGACTTTATAGCACAACTGTGGTACGCGGAGGAACCTGGGGAGCTGGAAGCTGAGAACTGGCGACTTTGGAGTACAACTTTACTACGCGGAGTACTTGGGGAACTGGAAGCTGAGAACTGGCGACTTTGTAGTTCAACTTTAGTACGCGGAGTATCTGTGGAGCTGGAAGCTGAGAACTGGCGACTTGGTAGTACAACTTTAGTATGCGGAGTATCTGTGGAGCTGGAAGATGAGAATTGGCGACTTTGGAGTACAACTTTAGTACGCGGATGAGTCATCTCTCGCGGCTGAGTCATCTCTCGCGGCTGCGGCTGCTCTGGCACCGCTGCAGCTGAGCCATGTCTCCCGACCACCCGGCTCTCTTGAGGCTGACAAATTTAGCTACTTTGCTTTCTCAAAAGGGGTCATTTCGATTACTTTCTGGAGACCTCAAAACATGTGTTTTGAGAGGTTGACAAATTTGAGCTAATTAGCTTCGTGTCTCGACAAGCTATCACATCATAGTTAACGTCTAGCTCCAGTTAGCTTTAGTGGAGCTAGAGCTAGAGCTATGCTTCACTCATCACTCATCACTCATGCGTCTGACTGAGGGACACGAGGGACACTCCTATAGGTCAATTTGTTCTTATAGGAAACTTCCGCCGCCGGCTTGCCCGGGAACTGCTTGTAGCATGATTACTCCTTTAATTAAGTAGGCGCCTACTCAATTAAGTAAGGAGACAGGGCCACGGGCTAAATAAAAAATAATGAGAGTTGTAAAGTTGCTGCAACTTGTTTAAAGCAAGAGTCAATCAAGAACAGGAGAAATACAAGTGGAGCCAGGCAAAGTCCAAGCATGGCCTTCAGCCACTTCAGCCACTACAGCCACTAGAAAGCTGCAACATTGATTCACAAACACGTCCAATGCAAAAAATAGAATCAAAACGTATCAAAATAATAACAAATATATATATATATGTGTGTGTGTAAAGATTTTAGCTAACGAGATCTTCAACTGCTCACCACCTCAGGCCTCGGGGTCTCTTACGCCGCCAGGCCCATGTCGCAAGGAGATTCTTCCTCTGCTCAGCTCCAAGAACCTTTTGAAAGGAACTTTGCGATTCAAATCTCTGCCCATTTGGAGTAGCTATTCACAAACCAAAACAGTGGTGATGAACTGTGCTTTGCCCTAGTTGCTTGGTGAATTGTGTCCTTCATCTATTCTTTGCTGCTTCAGCTTGAGCCAAAACCAGCATGTCTACCTGATCTTGGCATCTGCCTCCATCCGTCAACAGCAGAAAGGCTTTTCTTGAGCCTTGGCTTGCAAAGTATACAACTCCTGAATCTGTTTCCTACCTCGGAACGCTCCGTGATCACTTGCGTCTTCTCCTTAGAAACAGGACAACACAATTCCAATTCCAGACAACACAATAGATGCACCGAGCTCCCACAACCGAGTCACTCTCACTCGCTGTACTCTCTGTAGCAAGCAATGTGTCATGGCCATGGCATACTTGTTCGGCAAACTATAAGGTTGGAGGCCATCGCTATGAGGATTGGAGGCCATCGTTATTAGGTTGGAGGCCCTTGCTTTTGCATTTGACCTCTTTGAAGTGCACGCTCAGCTGTAGCCTTCTCCATCTTGGCCCGCTGAGCGTTGCACATAAATAGGACACATGTAGCCTGCGCCCAAAAAGACCAGGGAGCCAATGAAAGGGACCCGAGGAGACTAGTCGCCAAGAACCTATGAAACGTTGGGAAAAAAAAAAGAAGTAAAGAGTAATGAAACCACGAAGATCTTATGCCACTCTTAAAGGAAAAACCCAGAAAGACGTGCGCATTTGACTGGCGATGCCTGGGGTGCCCCCAAAGTCCTTGAGCCGTTGCGCTCCTTTACCTTCTTTGCAAATCCGTGCCAGGCCTTGATGCGACTGCAGGTCCGTACTGCCAGGTCCCAAGACGAAAGACCAAAGACGTAGTCAGACAGACCGTATGTCAACCTGGGTGTCAGGCCGAAGTCTGCCACCTTTGCCAAGCCGCTGCGAGTGAGCCTCAGGCTGCAAATACATTCAACTCACCGTCTAGTCACTGATCTATATGTAGAAAAAACGGCATCTTCCTGAGTCTACCATTCGCTCACTAGCATCCACAAACACAGACACCACACCCCACAGCAAGACAACCGGGATTTGAGCCATTTCAGTCGGGGCACAAAATGTTGGGAGACTTGATGTCACGATGAAAGACCTGTGCTTGGGCGAAATGCAGCCTACGACACGATGAAACTTCGAAAAAAATCCCAACACATTCATAAGGCTTCCATTTGACCAACGGCCTTGGGCGTCTGATGGTGCAAGTGCGAGAGTCCGCAAGCAGCATCGTAAGCTACACAAATGCGTTCCCGCCACTCGAAGGCCTCCCAAAGGCCGAGCCAGTAGGTGGTAGATTACTTGTAGCTAGTAGGTAGCTAGTAGCTACCTCTCCCTACCAGCTAGGTCTCACGGAAAGGGAAGCTTTTCTCGGTCTAAAGCGGTGGCGCTCACAGTCTTCAAGTCTTGTGCAAGCGCACTGTCGGGTAGCGTTGAAAGTTCGCCACTTGCCTGCCGCCCTTGTTGATCCCTGTAAGAGCGGGTACAAGAAGGGTATTAGCAATGACGGAAAACAAGTGCTTCCCCATAGCCGAAAACAAATTAGGAAACTAATTAGGACCGAGAGGATAAGACTTTAGGACATTGCAGTGCATCGAACCCCCCTTTCAATTTGTCGACAAAGGGAACATCTTTGCGAGGCTGTTTGGCTCTTTTCATGGCCATACGAAGTTTAGCCTAATAAAAGACATTCGTGTACAATCATCAGGATCATCGGTGGTGGAAAGGAAATGCAAGACTTGCCGGATGGTCTGTCCCAGCATGTCACGATAGCACCCGGTATCCACCTTTCGTTTCCACGTTGTGTTCCATCTTCCGTGAATTCTGTGCCGCCAAAACAGCCAGTGATATGAACACTCGACCTTTTGCTTCTTGTAGTGGATGCGGTTGAATAGATCTCCACCTTCCATCAACTCGTACCTGGATTGCGACCAAGATACATTGCACACCCAAGAATTGATCCTATCTCTCTCCCCTCTTCGAGTTGCTTCAACTGAAGTTGTTGTAACAACAGAGATGGAAATAGCTACTCAGCCTTGTTATGCATGCTCCTATTTTGATTTACAAAACTGATTCTCTCTCTCTCTCTCTCTTTAAGGAGATGTTGGGCATCTACTCCTGTTTATCGTTATGTCCTTCATCTCTGAGCTGCGGACACCAGAAATCGCTTCGGCCCATTACGGGCGAAACCCATCAAGACCACCAGGTTGGGATGTCGAAACATACTCAGCACTCGCACCTCCAGACTTCCGGCGTTTCAAATAGCTTCTTGTTACTACTAGTAAGGCACTTGTTACTAGTAGCGATGCACTTGTTACTACTAGCTTCTTGTTACTAAACGAGAAAAGAGTAGCTCGCGCAGCGACTCGCGCCTCCTCTTCGAAGCCCGACTCCCTCGCATTGTCCAAGGCCTGACACGATACAGCAAACAGCGAAGCAGGCAATGCGGCGGACAAAGAGGAACAAAACAACGAGACAATCAAATCAAACACGAACCATACCCTTGACATCCATTGACATCCATTGGCATCTGACTGCAGAGTAAGCCATACGCCATTAAGTCGCCACCACAGTTCGGCAAGTGTTGCAAGTCCTAAAGCTCCACGGGAGGCCATCGCCAACCCGCTAGGCGCGCTGGGCGCCTTGACCGCGATCTCGGTGCCATCTTGCTGCATCCCGCGAAAGACCGCACCGAAGCCACCTTCACCCATACGTTTCGACCTAGCAGCTTTAGAATCCGCAAGAAATGACCTGACTACTAGGAGCAAAGGACGTTTACTAGGGGTTCCTGGCCTTACTAGTAGTAACAAGAAGCTACTAGGAGCAAGTGCATCGCTACTAGGAGCAAAGGACGCTACTAGGAAAGGGTGAGCTTTACTTCTCATGTTACTAGTAGCGAGGCACTTGTTCCTAGTAGCGTCCTTGTTACTACTAGTAAGG